TTTTTTTCAGATGCTTTTCAAATTAAAGTTAGATAAGAAATATTAGTTAAAATATTTATTTAAAAATTATTAATTAATGTTATAATTTTTTGTTAATGTTTTTATTACATTTAGAAAAAAACTAATTTGAGATAAATTATATAATATCAATAAAACACACATAAAGACAGTTTTTAGTTTAGTTATTTTTAATACAGCATTAATGATTCTGATTAATTCTTTTATCAAATTTCTAAATAAAAGACAAAAAAGTGTATTAATAAAACGGTTTAAATTGGAATCATTTTAAATCTAAGAGCAAAAGAATTAATGATATTCTGATTAATTAATTATATATATCAATATTTGCTAAGTAAAGCCCTCAAATGAAGATGATTATACTAATTACAATAGGACTTGTGGTGAATATCACCCTCATGCATTTACTCTAAAACCGTCCTCACATCCTTTGTCCCGCTATCCCTGTTTAGGCTGCGTCTCTCCCCGAGTCCTCCTCCTGTCCGTGGGGTGACTGTAACCCGCTCCTCGGGATCGGGAACTCATTCACGTGTGGTCCAGAGCAGCACCAGTCGTACCTCTTCAGGCAGCGCTAAAAAACGGCGCTTGAACGATAACGACAGCGATGCCTCCAGCGTGGTCGGTGGAACTGTTACTCGCACACGAGTCGCCCAGCAGGCCTCTGCCAGCGGTCGCGTGACCGTGGACGAAGTGGACATGGAGGGCAAATATGTACGGCTCAGTAACAAGTCTGACCAGGTGAGAAGGAAAAGGAGCTTTGGCCACCAATAAAAAGGAATGAATTATTATTTACTTTTTATTAAATGAATCTTCTTCCTCCAGGATCAAACTATGAGTAACTGGCAGGTGAAGAGGCAGATTGGTTCCAGCACTCCCATCGTCTACAAGTTCCCACAAAAATTTACTCTGAAGGCAGGACAGACTGTCACAGTATGTATCGATTTACCACATTATAGTCGCCTTTAGTTGCTTTTGAATTCCTGACTTACTTCAGTGTCTCTCTGCTGTCAGATTTGGGCCTCTGGAGCTGGAGGAATCCACAACCCTCCTTCTGACCTGGTGTGGAAGACCCAGAACTCTTGGGGCAGTGGAGATCTGTTCCAGACCAGCCTCATCAGTTCCACTGGGGAGGTGGGATCATGTTAAATCAAACCAGCCAGCTTTTTTTGAACAAGGTTTTATTTGATTCAAGGTAGCCAAGTGACTCATTCACTTCCCTTTTTTCTTTATTTATTTGTGTTTCTCCAGGAAATGGCCATGAGGAAGGTCACACGCACTCTATTCCAGGATGAGGATGATGATGATATGGTACGTAATCACTAGCATGTCTCAAAAAGTTAATGTAGTAATCTAATTTTTTTAAATATATATTTTGAGTTTTGCCAGGTTAAATTAAAAACATGAAAGTGTAACACCAAGACCAAATGTAGCTCGATTGATGTGAATAAGTCTGGCTTCACAAAGTAAGACTAAAGTTTTAACATGACTTTTTAAAAAGATGAATTATTGCTTTAGGTCGACCGAAATTGAACACATTTTCTGAACAGTATAAAGTGTATAATGTGTTACATAACCACTTTGAACATCATCTTGTTTCTTTACACCGTATACTTTTGTTAATGGCTGTTTGTCGGGTTTGTTTGGGTGTAGCCTTCTCACGGTGAATCATAGCTCTAAAATGAACTGAGAGCAGGCAGAATTCATCTCTATAATAAGATCCATTGCAGTTCTCAGTCTCCGTTGTTCTCTGTTTACTGTTTCCCCCTGCAGGCCGCCCACAGCACATGCGGGGATAGTGAGTATAACCTCCGCAGCCGTACGGTGGTGTGTGGCTCATGCGGGCTGCCGTCAGATAAAAACAGCAGCTGTGTGTCGGCCAGCTCTGGAGTGTCCAGTGCATCTCGCTCGTTTAGCAGCGGAGGGGGGCTGCCTGAAGCATTTGTCTCTCCCTCACACTTTATTGTGAGCAATGACAAATGCAGACAGGTATTTTTTTTTTATTTACAGTAGATGAGTTGAACCAGTATTTTTATTTTTTTTTAATTTTGGTCTCTTTCTGTCACTTTATTTTAAACTTTCAAATATTTTGTGTTAGATGACATAATCTGGTGTGTGTAAAAAAAAAAAAGAAGAGTTTTTTGTTATTGCGTTTAGTCTTAGATTAAAAAATTATAACGATTTTTTGTATATTATAATTTTATTTTAATTGTTTTTTAAACAAATATTTACAACATAACCTTAAGAGTAAAATAATTAATTAAAAAAAACATATCCATGTAACATTTTTTTGTCTTAATTAAAAAAAATCTATTTGAATGAATCTGATTTTTGTTACTAAAAAAAGAACATTAAAACTGTTTAAATCAATGAACAAATCAGTGTTATTTTAAGTTAATTATAATAATAAAAATGATTTTGTTTGTAACTAAGACCTAAAACAACAATAGAATCTGAAAAACTTAGTAGCAAAGTTTTAATGTTTTTAAAAATCAAATTTTACGATTAAAAAGATGAACAAAAAATCCGAAATAATTGTTGCGAAAAATTGTTTTAATCGGTTTGATTGATTCTTTGCTACTTTGATATTATCTAGATTTTTTTGTTAACACATTAAATTATGATTTAATGTTTTGTGAGGAATTTATTATCAGTAAAACAGAAGCATTGTAATAAGCAAAGGTTTGAAGAAGTCTTATTAAATTAACATTAATTTCCCTTTCTCTCTTTCTCTCTCTTAGGCTGGACCCAAACTAGACAACTGCTCCATTATGTAGGCAAGCTGTAGACAGCCCTGACCATCTGTCCTTTCACACAAACCAGGAGGAATTCATCCAACAATTAGTTTCCTTTTGGATTATGTGTCTTATTATTACATGATATATTTTGTACTTCAGTTTTTGTTTTGTATTTCATAATCTGCGGGGTAGATTTTTGGCTTTTGTATGGCATAAGGCTTCATACGCTGGCAGCTTGTAGGCTGTAGTTTGCGATTATTATGTACAGTGTTACTCTAATATATTTGCATGGTGGCCTGGCAGCAGCTTCAAAATAATCGTACTGTACTCAGGGAGAGAGGCGAACGGAGCACTTCACACTCACACCATGAGCTCTCAACGGCAATGCTGTCGGAACGCAACACGCACAGTTATTACACCTTCTCCAAGACTAAACTCTCATTTTAGCACAGCAGTGAGCGTCAGTTAATGTAAGACCGGAAATGAGGGCTCATTCGTTATTGTCCCAAACTTCGTCAGTAAGTAATTTGTCAGTAGGTTTTATGTTTTTTTTTCATGCTACCTCTTGCAGTTATGTGATCGAAATGATGTGCATCTACAAAAGGGAAAGGAAAGTGAGTAATTCTATGCAGTTTTGTTATAATAAAACTCCGGGATAGAAATACAGATCTTCTGGATGTAAAACTGCTTCGTGCCTTGATACAATTGCACAGTTGAATAGGTACTTTGTGTCTTTTGGCAGTGCGTGTACAAGCTCTGACTAGACAGCAGTATGTCGTGTCTTGCGTAATAAGTGTTATAGGATGTTTCTGAAAGACTTGAAGCAACTATAAAACTAATCCAAAGAAAAGCTCCTTAGCAGTTTACAATTGCCAAGACGTTGTCAACATGTTAAACAAAGGCTTACTGATTGTTTTAGAAGGAAAACTTTTGAAGTTTACTTGCAGAGAAAGACATATCTGATGTATTATGTTACCGGAGAATCATGTTGTGTTTAAAGTACTGAGTACTAAACTATTGCCGGTTTAAAGAGATGTATTTTTGTTTCAAGGCTTAGAGGCAGAATAATTAAATATGCAAAGTGACCACCGTCATTCCCAGCTTTAATGCTCTATTATTTTTATGTTTTTTTTTTTTTAATGACACTTGAAATGTTTGAGTTTTATTAAAAAGTCAAATTGACATGTACACTAAAACATTTGTATTTCTCTATGGGACTGAGTGTTGATTTGTTCTTGTCACTCCTCTCTTGCAGTAGATGATCCAGTTCCTCATCTGGACCGCTGTAAGGCTCCAGTAATCTGAGCAGTCTGTCCTTCCCTTCACTGCACACATGTCCAGTCCGTTTAGGGCAATTTGAGAACCAAATTCAAGACTTAAAACAAAAAAGTTTGTTTCATAAAGTTGGAACAGCTTTCATCATAGGAAATTAAGAACATAACCGAGCCTCCCACAGCTCTCCAGACAGAGGAATGGATATTGCTGACATTATTGCTTTGCAAAGCTTTGGGTTTCTAAAGGTGAATTTTGGGATAGTGTATCTATTTTTTCTATATATACTTAAGACTTGTGGTTTTGTATTTCCACTTAAATAGCCATTGACATTATTGTAATAAGCCATGTATTTTCGTTTTTGAAACTGATCATGGATTTCAGTTGTTTATTTGTTGGCATCTTTGGCAAAGTTGCCTTATGCAAAGAAAGACTTACTGATAACCAAATCATGTTTCCCTTTATTTTGAAATGTTGTTTTTAGTTAGATGGCTAATTTCATGAAGGCTTTGTATAAAAAAATCAAGCAGTCTGCAGGGCAATGCAGGGATTTTTTTTTTGTCTTTATAATGATCTTTTACTGTTTTGTGAGAAATTTCAGAATTGTTGTGAAGTCTTGTTATAAACTGTGCCTTTAAAAAATGTCAGTTGTAACAAATAAAGCCTTTCTGACTTTTTCATTTGCTCTCTGTGTGTGAGTGGTATTGCGTGTGCGAACATTTGACTATTTACTGTTGAATATGTTTTATTGAAACTCTTATTTTATTTAATTTATTTTTTATATAATTTAGGCTATTTTATTTTAAAGTCTTGTTTTAGTACCATCAACGTTAAAAATGGAGGGAGTTTCAATAAGAAGCCTGATTTTAGATATTGATTGATGAAAGGTTACATGTTTAGGCCTTTATCTACCGATTACAATTTATTAGGAATTACGATTTATGAATGACAAAACGCGCATACCTCACGTTTCACAACGTGCTGACGTTTACCTCAGGCGTGAGCTCACGAACGCGCGGGCGACAGTTACCCGGAAGCGATGGTTTATGGTGTAAGAAGTTTAACATACTACTGGTGTTTTTTTTGTCTCACAGACGCTTTATAGTTTCGCTTCAGAAAACATTGATTCATCAGCTGCAGCCGTATTGATAAGAGTTGTGTTCGTGTTTTTTAAGCGTCAACTTGGAGGACCCTTCTGTGTAACGTTACAATAAATGAGTCCGAAATAAACTCTTGAGATGGATTATTTTTCTACAAGTCTCATCTGGGTCCCCATTAGGGTGAGTAAATTAAATTACAAAATTTTCTATTTTGGTTGGAGTATGTCTGAAGTCACAGACAACGAGATTCATGACAAGTTGTGCTTGAAAACTTTGATTTTATTTACACTATTTACAATTGGTATTGGTTGAACTCAATTGACATTCATTGTAAAAGGTTCCGAATGTTGGATCTTACAAACACGAAAACTTGTTCTGTAGCTGTTAAAGATGATATTATTTACACCCTGATTACCAGATTAGATAAGAAACATGAATAGTATTTAAAACAGAAAAATATGTAGCATTTAACCCATTAATGCCCAGATCAGATTTTCTATTAATGTCTTTACTTGCACATCATTTATATGAGCATATGTGCCATTCTTTTGCAGTTTTTCCACATAAGATTTAATACAGCAATTTGTGATGGGTGAAAAGATTTTTGTAGTGAAGCTCCAACAAGTCATCACATGACATCCAGCAAGTTGTCGAAATCTCTTTCTAAGGCTGTCTTTTTGTATGCCAGTAGTTAAGCCACCCAAAAATATTGTCGGAAGAAAAGGAGAAATAAAGTCATTGGCAACATCCACAGGCTTGAATGGGTTAAATGCCTGTAAATGTGATCTTTTTCTCCATGAACGTTCAATGGTTGTTAGTGTTGTCCAGCTGATGGCAGTATTGCGCAGTTTTGGTGGCATCCATCCATTCATCTGTGGTGGGCAGTATTTCAATATACAGTTTGAAAAGCTGACCCCGTGTTTGGTAGTGATTTTTGCGAAGAACCAAAGTCTGTAAGGAGATCAGTGGGGCAGTCTTCGTGGCGATGGAGAGGGTGGTCTCCGCACTGGGGGCAGATCATAATGCCCAGGAATGTGGCTGTTGATGGGCAGATCATAATGATTCTGAGATTCCTGTTCCACAATGTTGCCAAGGGAACAGTGTTCTGAAATACAGTGAACAAACATATTTTAAATGCTGTACCAGACAATACTCCAAAGCCATCATGTTGTCATGTACCCTTATGGCAAAAAAAATGTCATATTAACATATTTTGGTCATTTTTTATATATTGTTAATCTAAATATATTTGTATTGTCAAAAATATAAATGAAAAATGCATTTTGCATCTGGCCCTCTGAAGTAAATTTTGTAATGTATTTTGGCATTTGAATGTAAAATATATATATATACAGAGCAATACCCAATTTCTTTTAATATAACTACCTCTGCATGACAGAGTGGAGGGAGTCATAAGCGGTGGGCTGATTTCAGTGTAGGATCTTTCACGAGGCACTGCAGACTTCATCTCCATGTAGCTGCTCTCCGGAGGACAAGGTGGCAGGCCAGGCAGATCTTTGATGGTGGCATATGGGTTCTCACTGTTGAGAGAGCTGCTGCTCACTGCCACACATGAATCCTTCAACTCTGCAACCACAACAGCATGTTAGACACAACGAAGATATATAGAAGAACATGTAGAAGAAGAATATCTGGGGGACTTTTACCTTTGTTGTAGTGCTTTCCAAGAGTAGCACTATAGCTGTAACTTCGATCGATGCCGAAAGCCCCTGCAAACACAATAAGACCATATTCAATTTACTTGGACAGAACAAACTAAAAATATAGTGCAGTCAAACAGTGAAACTGTTTCCCAGTATCTATTACCTGGATCTTTAGGTGGCTCCTGGTGTTTCCAGCCTGGAGGAAGAGTTGCATTAGTGTCCGCCACAAACAGACCTCTCCTCTCCCTCTCCATGTTCTTCAGACTGCAGAACAGCTGGTTGTTAGTGTTCTGTCAAAGCGTGAGACATAAAGGAAAGTTGTGTTTGTTATATGTGCAAAATTCTGCTTTTGTAATCAATACTGCACAGCCCACTACTGCTGCACTGCAAAAAATGGCTTATCTTACTTAGTATTTTTGTCTTGTTTCTAGTCAAAATATCAAAAAATTCTTAAATCAAGATACTTTTACTAGATAAGCCAATTGACTTAAGATATTTTGCTTAAAACAAGTACAATTATCTGCCAGTGGGGTAAGTAAAATATTCTTAAAACAAGAGTATTTTACTTACCCCACTGGCAGATAATTGTACTTGTTTTAAGCAAAATATCTTAAGTCAATTGGCTTATCTAGTAAAAGTATCTTGATTTAAGAATTTTTTGATATTTTGACTAGAAACAAGACAAAAATACTAAGTAAGATAAGCCATTTTTTGCAGCGTGACAGTGATAACTGATTAGATGGTTATGCATAAATAATTGTATAAATTAAGAAATAACCAAATCTTATGGAAGTCAACTTCTATAGAAGTGCATTTCCACCACACAAGAAAAACATGCTTTAGAAGAAATTATGACATACCTAGTCTTAAAAAGAGATATATTATGAATTATGAGATTTTTTTTTTACGAGAAGTCAATAATGACATTGAAAGTAAATAAAAATATTTGGTTTCCCTTTATTTTAAGGTGTCATTGTTACAGTGTAATCATACATTTACTGTAATGTACTGTACATGTACTTACTGTATGGTTAAGGTTTGTCTTAGGGTAACTTGCATGTAATTATGCATAATAATTATTATTATAATAGTATGTACATGTAACATATAACAAGTACACCTTAAAATAAAGTGTTACCAAAATTTTTTTTACTAATGACTTTTTAATCTCATAAATTTGAATTTTATCTCAATTTTAATTTATACACTTTTTATCTCATGAATTCATTACATTTGATATGGAAGGTTAATGCAGTTAAATAGACTGCATTCTGGGATACACTGAACATTTAACTTTTAGCTTTTATCCAAAGTGACGTACATATGAGTAACATTTGAAGCAATTTATGACAGAGCCAACAAAATTCATAGTGTACAGGTTGGCTAATTACAATTTACATACTGTGCACAATATTCATATAGTAAGAGTAAAATGCTAGTATGCTAATCCAAACATGGTATATACCATGTTATTGTACTTATAATACCATAGTATTACTCACCTTGATGGCTCGGTCCTGGTTGTTGGGCAGGTGTGGCAGTGGAGGTCTGTTCTGAGACAGTGTGTGGTAACTCGGGTTTGAGTAATAGTGATGGTAGCTATGTGGAACATCTATAAGAAATAAGCAAATACAAAATAAAAATGTTTATAAATAAATCCGATTTTTAGTATATCAATTCCTTATCATCTAATTTTTGCACATGAGGCGCTACTGAAAGTATCAAAAACTCCTGTGGCTCATACCTGGCACAGCGTACTCTGAACTGACGGTGCGGGTTGAAGAGAAAGACACAACGGGTGTGGTGCTCTGCTTGTCCTGCTGTCTGCGCCGATACAACAACAAAACCGCCAACAGGAGCACAACCAGAATCACCAGCACCACAATTCCTGCGATCGCACCCCACGAGTCCTTCTCCACCGGAGACACGGGCACCATCATACTCAGCTCTTGCTCTGAAAAACACACAGCCATTCACATTACACACACTGATAGCCATTAACATTTCAGTGTTTAACATACAGAAAATCAAATGTTTTTAGGCTGTTTTTAATACCTGGTTTGCAGTCCCCGCCTGGTCCAGGTGCACACACACAGTCTCCAGTGTGAGGGTCGCAGGAATGGTTGGGGGGACACGAGCATGTCTGAGCGCAGTTAGTGCCGAACGTCCCAGTCTGACACACTGCAAAGACAGACATTTGGCAAATGTTCGATGAACTGGTAGAGTGACAGACATATTGAGCCTGATCCAGGAATAAAAATGTATTTTCAGGTGAGAATTAGAGTATGACTTATTTATTCCGAAACCACATCCAGGAAATCTGGCAAACAGTCTTTTCTAAGAGAAACAACTCTTAATATTCTGCTTAAGCTTAATCATTGTAACACACTATGCAGTCATTTTCCTACTCAGTATTTTTGTCTTGTATTCCAGTTCAAATCTAAACATTCTTCAATCAAGATTTATTTACCTTAGATGCACTATGTTTTGTTTTCTGAGAAATTTATCAAAATTAAGTGTGGTTTTTGGT